TTATGTGTCTTTTTTCGCTGTCATACGAAATCTGTTCTACTATACGTCGTTAATTGTGTTGTATCATATTTGGAAATGGTTCGTGGCGTCCAGTACATGAACTTGAACTGCACTTCAATTCTAACAGCTTACCTTACTCCATATCGTATCACTACTCAGCGAATTATGCCCAACAACATCCCATAATAATTTCCTACATTCCACAACCAATTTCTTGTTTGAAGGCGATGGAGTGGGTGGGGGAGGGGGAGGGGGTGGAGCGCTTGACACATTTGGCTGTACGTTACTTGTTATCTTGGTGTCTGTCGTAACCTTGACATCGCTTTCAGACTTGGTGTTTTGTTCCTCTTTAGGTGGAGTTGATTTACTTACATGTATACATTCGACTGTAGTACCACTACCTATTGACAAAAAACACACTATATATATTGAAAACGTGACCTGAGGTCTTGAATTAATGATTCTAACAGGTAAACAAACCAGTTTACCGCTAATCTCCATCAGTTTATAACTTAGTCATTTTTCGCTTCGACTTAGAAGATCGTGAAACAAGACCGCGTCTGTCAAACTCTTGGAATTGTGGGATTGTTTTTAGCAAATTTTCGCTGATCCCATGCTGTCGGAAGCATACACATGATTATATCGAAGTAATAATTTATATTCCGAGTCGCATGAATAAGTATATGAAATGAAGTCATCATTTGATAATGATGATGTCAGTAGAATAAGTACGTCGTTACTCTGTCTTTTAATGCATGTATATCTTATAGTGAAAACAAGAATATAAAACTTACCTCGCCTGTAAACRCCAACGAGGAATGAGCAGCCAGATATCATAAATCCTAAACAGTAAAGATAATAATAATTGAAATAATAAATATTGCTGACTGCAGAACGCGAATCCAGCGATTGCTCAGTTTTGCTTATTCGATCTACACGATGACAAATTTCCGCTGAGAGAATTTTTATGACTTTATCTTTTATTAGTTTATTATTAAACAAACTTTCGCACATAGCAAATCTTATTGGTTTGCGTAGAGCTGTCTGTTAAAGGCAGGCCGCTGAAGGAGACTACTGTCAGATCGGATAATTTATCCCTGATCGATTTCCATTTTATCTCGATCAAAGTGTGTGGACATGGGTCATGCATTGGAAAAGCCTCAACCTAGAGGATGTCATGTGATCATAAAAACATCATATGCATATATGGTAATCTTGTAATTGCTAGATTAATTAACGAAACTTTGAAGGAACAATGTTTCAAATCATACACGACTTTACCAAATGGCGGTAGYTACGACCGACAATATCGGGGGACTTGTGACGAATTATGGAATAAACGAGAGTACGAGGCCTTACAGTCCTTACATGTTAAAAACATCACGAAGACCACATGTATGGTAGTGTCAAAACTTGAAAAATGTATTGGTATGTTATTTATGACAAAACACTTTAGCAAAACACCATGAAAGTGCTTCGTCCCCAGTGCMGTGATCGCCCACTGCAACATATCTCGACATTTTTGAAAGTCATGAATGTGAGAGTAATGTTCCTTGTTAAAGGCAACTGAAGGTCTATCTAAAATCATGTAATGGCTACAGTCTTACCTGGATAGATGAAGATAGGCATAATGATGGTGATACCTCGCTTAACCAGTAACGAATAAGCAATGACACCGAGCAAGACGAATACAACAACGACCAGGAACTTCCAGTTACTAAACAAAAGCACCAGAAAATCGTTCATCAGAATACTTGCAAAATGGCGAATAATAGCCAACAACTATAATATGGACAAGACCAAGAAAACCAGTYACAACAATTAGGGTAATAGAAAAATAACGACATTGACAACTGACCATCATCATTGATAATRGCAGCACGTAAAGCATGTTTTCATAAGCCAGTAGAAAACACTTTTAAAGTGCATATTGACAAAAATAACAACCACGACAAAGCGAACAGCAACAAGAACAACCATACACAATACCCTCATAGCAAAGATGAATAAAGGAATCGTCAGTGGAGGTAGCATAGCTATCATATCATTCAATGATAATACCAACGTTTTTAAAATTTCTTTAAGCTGCCATCCATTTCTTGGTGTCGATGACTCGTAGAGATCAGTGTTTTTACTGCTTGGTTTTTCATCCTTTGAACACTGGATTTCTAATAATTTCAGCAATGAAAGCAAAATTGTAAGGCTAAATTGTATWAACAACACACACAACTTTTGTGGATGCGGAGGGCACGTTTCAAACGTCGCATTCYACCAAAATCAATAGGAATGAGATCAGTCCTTGCGACTTAAAAAGTATTGAATGTACATTGATTTCAGTTCAAGTAGCATTCGTTATTTGGGAGAAATCTGAATGGGGAAGTTGACAAAAAACGATGTATAAATGTCAAACATTTTGAGCCGCATGTTCCAAATGACTTGAGGATCRGAAAGTCAGCATCGTGCAAGCAGAGCATGCGCAGGAAAAAAAGAAAAGTCTTCATTTTACTACGTCAAGCTCGCATAACTAAACGTATATCGATTATTGCGTGCTGCTTTCTACATAACATTAGCACTAAAGGCTTACAAAATACTTAGGCGAGTACTTGTGCTCTCTCAACATGTCTTCAGAGGACCAATCAAAAACCTTCTTTCAATTATTAAATAAAGAAACAAGGCTCAACGAGTAGATATTTATACAGCACCCAATGATGCTTTGTCAGTATTGCTTTGATCTTTAATTTTAGATATCCAAAACCGAAATATCAAAAACATATTTTATCAAAAGGGGTGGGTTTTTTTGGATGTTGTTGCGCAAATCGCTTGCTAACGTTGTTACAGTGTGGGAATTATTGACGAACATTTTAGTAAACAAGGCAATTTTTCAAACATGGCTGTCAATCTAATGACGTTCAAACAAACAAGGGATTTGATCTCACTTAATCATTTTATAAAACTTCAATAAAACTTGCTAAGATCAAGGCAAAGTTAGAATATGGTCATTACAGGTAAACTCGAAGATCAACCACGCCTTTGTGGTCACTAATCGAAAGTGMTATTGTTTATGGGAATATTACAGTCTATTGAATATTATCTATTTTATGTTTTTTTTGCTTCACTCCACAAAAAGACCGACTAAGTTTACCCAGGAATTACCTGTCGAAGTTTGTTCACTCATATATTTTATCTTGGTACTACTGTAATGTCGAAGGCACTAGGCGCAGTAATTTATCTACTACAGTGCTAGTGTTACAGTGTTATCATTTTAGGAATTGCTTATGATTCCGATGAGCGTTTTGAAAAGTGTTAAAAAGCTGGAATCTGATTATGTGCGCGAAACAAACGTAAAACTAGTGCGRAAGACTAGTGTTTTAAACTATGCAGGAGTATTACTGATATTCAGAGTTTAATGGAAACACTGCATACTGTATGTCTTCAGCTCACAACTTCCACCAAAGATCGATATCAAACAACAACTTCCTAGTCAAAAAGTTCAGCGCGCGAGTTTGGTGGTCGAAAGTTGTACATTACAAACCTTTGGAACCTGAGCCCCTAGACACTTCACGTACTGTCTGAGGTGTTGCAGCTGATAACATTCTCCCAAGTAGAGTCATACAGCATGCAGTTCAACTAGCCCATGATGGTGATATGTCGGTTAGCATTCATCTGCCGTCGTTACATCATGCTTTTACCGTGATAATTGCACTTGTTGACGTCATAATTACAAAGCGCGCGGACATCTGCGTCAAGAATGGGGCTCAGTCCTCCTCCCCTCATAATCCGGTTTGATACACTGGCTTTTTTCTCACCATGACAAGACCTGACAAACATTGGGGTCTGGAACCTGTAATCCAGCCACGTGACAGGGGAGGGTCCAACAGGTCTGCGGACGCCTCCATTTTGGGGATATTCCTGAATTTTTATATGATTTTATATCWAAGGGTAGCAATAAAGCCCACAAATGAAGTATTTTATGCTAAAGAACTCAGTGTGTGCATAGTACTGATTTTTAGACTGGATTCTTATTTCCCAATCTTTCACATTTATTTTGATTGCGCTGTATATGTGGTGTCAGTGTTGMTCCCGAGCAGGTCTTAGYCTGTGTACATCCATTTCTCACCCCTCCAAAAAAATCGGGGAGAGTTTTCCTCACCGAATTTTTCCCGTAGGGGGTAAGRGTTGGGAAAAGGATGTACACAGGCTAAGCAGTTCTTCACTTTGTTATTTCTAATCGTCAGTTTTTATTTCTTGTCAGCGTTTTCTCTTCGTTGTTTGTTTTTTTGTTTCTTTTTTTTTATGTTGTGTCACTGGTTTCCTCTTTTCAGTTTCTATTTTTGCCAGTTCCGTTCTGTTAATTTCCGCTACCCGCCTCGTGCCTTGGATCAGTTTGACCAGACGTTCTCGAATCAATGATTCATGATTGAATGTGCCTAACCAGAAAGCAACAATGGAAAGTCAAAGCTCATATGTTTGCATTGAGCACACAAAGTTTACATATTAAACTTATTGCATACCGATTACGATAGATAAAATTCTTTTGTGCCGAAAGAAAGCCGAAGCACTTCCGACATGACGCCTTTCTTCTACTTGGAATCTTCGAATGGCTCAAAGAAAGCTATAAATGAGTTCTTTCTTTGTTCTTAACGGGCGATAAGTACTTCAAGTAGGTTTTGTAGGAGTTTTTAAACAATTCCTTTATCGCTATGCTAATTAGTTAATAACTTGGGCTATTTACATAATTCACTCGCCTGCGACGGTGGACGGRCTGCGAGTGATTGGATTCTAAGGTCAACCAGCTTAGTACACACGCTTTGAAACTTTACTACAACTGGATTAATCTTCGTTCAAATCCTTCCAACAACATACGGCATAATATTTTCATTCTATGGGACAGTGAAAGAGGGATTTCTTTATCATGTGAAGTGTTTTTGTAAAGTAATTCTTTTCGGATGGTAATCATTGCAAAGTCGTCGTTGCTCGTTGCTAAGTTTCGGCGTCCAACGGAACTAGATACCTTGGCGACATTGAAGAAATTTCTGTGATGATTTGTCTTCTTTTGAATCCTTACTTGGATTCTTGAATGAAGTTTGGAAACTGTTGATGTTAAGGTTTTTACTGGAATAGAAATCAAACTTCAAGGAATTTTGATTTGTGGTCAAGAATGAAATGAAGACGCGCTCGTTGAAATAACAAAGAACCCAAAGAATTCTTCACGTCAAACCACAGCTCGAATATTTTGTAAACGAGCATTATTACCGAGATGAGATCAAACGAACATTGGCCAGAGGGTTTTGGCTTTAAAATAGGAGGTAAATCTCCTGTAGTYATAATTTCTGTTCAAGACAACAGCGTCGCTCAACAAGCAGGATTGCARCCAGGAGACCAAATTCTTGAACTGAACGGAGAAAATGTCCAAGGACTCAATAAAGAACAAATTACTTTGCTTGCTAAACGTTCAACTCGAGTCCCACCAGCTATTGCTGTCATATCACGAATTCGGACACTTGAATTACGAAGACGTAGAGGTCGTTTTGGATTTACGTTGCGCGRTAGTGGACCWGTTTATGTGTATGATGTAGAAGAACGTGGACCCGCGTACAGTGTGGGAATGCGYCCAGGCGATCTAGTTCTYAAAGTGAACTCAATGAACGTTCGTCATGCTAACGCTGATCAAGTGCAGCAAATTGTGGAGGCCTGTGGACCCACMATYACTGTAGTTCTCATAGCTGGCTCTCAATCGATTGGTGATGGCGAACAGCCTTCTACTTCGTCGCGTTATCGAAGAGCAAGGGATTTTTATCTTCAGGTAATCTATGTTTTGTGGACAGTTTTAATGACCTTTTCCCAATTATTTGAATCTTTTATTGTCAATATAACTCTGCGTTTTACATAGAAAGAAAAACAGTGAAATATTTCCTTGAAGCTTCTTCGTGTTTGCCATAACTTTCCCAGTTATTATAAACTTCGTTCTGTTGAACCATTTGTTCTGAGCTTGGAATTTACGCAATGAATAGTYTTAGTTTAGTTTTATTATTTATCACAAATATATACCCTGTATACCTGCATATAATATATCATATACACATCACGCTGAGTTATAAACAGAGATAATGACGTGTGTTCATTATATTTTCCATTGTTGCATGTGGTGACATTCTTCTTTAACAATGGTGTATACGGAAACCTCAGAGAATCATTATACCTTTGGAAGACAAAATACTTTAAGCTGATTGGCTGATTGAAATCAGTTTGAAAAGAAGTAGTATTCTTGATTATGAAGTCTGTCTKTTTTTRCAAATGGGTGGGTTTTGACAAGTGTTTCAATATAACTTGTCTATTTTCCCATTTTTGTTTAATTTCATGTCAAAGSTGGATTTTATGGTTACAAATACATTCTGTTTTTACAGTCAATATGTTACATAGACATAAGATAGCAACTGTAATATTCATTTTCATGGTAAAACTACTAGAGCACATTGCAAATGACAAAATATCATGCTGCGTACCTATACAGCTGCCTTTAGGGGGTGGTGGTAGGGGTGTTTGACAGACTTTTTAGTGTTGAAAATAAAAGAGACCTCACAGATGCTTTAGGGCTATCGGTCAAACACTCAAAAGGGAAATAGAATTGAAAGTTATGAATGATGGAATAGTCTGTGGTTAACATCTTATGAATTCATTCTTGAGGGAATCCTACAGAAACCTGTATAGGGTATTGTACAAAATATCAATGATATTTAAAGAATGATGCTTACAGTGCAAATGCAGCAGCATTTTCTAGTATCYTAGTATTTTTACGTAATATTTATCATTTATTAATTTAGTCCCTTCATCTGGGGTTCAAAATTACAGCTGGTCAACGGACAATGACCAGCCAAAATTCGCACTTGTCCAGTCAAACCTCATGTTGGCCGGTCATCTTGATCGGTCAAGTCTATAACATGAAATAAAAAACTATCGAAATGACTACTACAGCGGATTCAGGTCRACTGTTAATATAACRAACGATTCTCGGGCGTCKATATTCTGCAATGAAGACTATCAGACAGCTATAAGTTTTATAGAAAACACTGTTTAAYGAATACAAAGCACAATTCGAAGAAAGGAAATARTGGAAATAGCATGTCAGGTCAAAATTGTATTTGAACGRTCATCATGTCCGGCCACTGACTGGCCATTATTTTGAGCCCTGTTCATGGTTCCCTGTCCATCTTGAAAGGTACCCATGCCTTTACATCGAAGCAGGATGACCGTTGAGCGTGCAATGATAGATACCTGTGAATAATTGTCTGTAGGTGTGAAAGARGTTTTTTGTAATAACTGTACGCTCAACTGTCGTCTCGCTTCGATGCAAAGGTACWGCTACCTTTCAAGATGGTGCTTGGAATCGTAAAGAAGACTATTTTGTGTTAAATAATATAATGGGTTTTTCTAGATGAATTATGTCCTTCCACGTGATAACAACAAAAAGGCCCAGTTAATAAAAGCACTCAATAAATATGCCAGAGACAGATCAATTGAACAACTTGCAAAGAGTCTGCTRGATGTCCTCAAGACTCCTGTTGAAAGAAAACTATTAAAACAAATTAGGTGAGAAGTGCTGTTAACAAATGTTATTAACACAGCCTTTACTGAGTTTATTCTTTGTTGACATAGGTACCTTATTCCAAAGAAGCACAAACCAGAGTATGATATTCTGGTTGGCATCAACTCTGACAGACCCATTCATCAACGTCCCCATAGTGCCCTCTTCTCAGACTCTTTGTCCAGATCCATGGATGAACTTGATATGACAAGGTAACCTCCTCACTTGACCTTCTTTCCTTTGATATCAGGGGTCATTGAATACTCTCCCTTAATTTGTGTCTTCTTTGTGATGATTTTGTGGAGTGCACTTCCTCCTGAGAGAGCGCTGTGCTCCTCCCTGACAAAAGTCCAAGATCTTCCCTGTACATGTTATCCTACGTAATGCTGTCATAACTGTTGAAACAATTATACATTATTAGATGATCACTATACAGCCTTTTGCAAAAATTATGAGAATTGTCGAAATATCTAAATATCATAATATCAAGTGCATGGTGGGTAATCCCGCGCGCAGACCTTTGTCCCGAACACGCGGGTTTGCTAGAATAATTCATTGTTGACATCGAGAAAATGTTCAGAACTACGGATAAGTCCGTCGCCGCCGAAAAAAACTAAATTACAAAGACAAAGGACAAAGGGAATCGTGCAGGATTACCCATCATGCAATTGATATTATGATATTTAGATATTTCGACAATTCTCATAATTTTTGCAAAGGGCTGTTTACATGTAATAGTGTTGTTAAAATATGACGTGAGAGTGACAATTGTGTGTTTTCATCCATCAATCACAGGACATGGTCATCCGTCAGTAGTATGAGCTCAAAGAAAAGAAATGTTCAAGCTCACCCACCAAGGTATAAGTTTACTACAGATAGTATGTTTTAGGGGGAGTGACGGTTAATCCTATGTAAGGAAGGGCACTAGAATTGTTGAGATCATTAAAAAAATGGGATAAGATAGATGATAAGAGAAATTGTGCGTGTATGCAGAGCCACTTGTCTAATAGGTGTTCTGTGGCGCTGGTTGTGTTTAAGTTAGGCACCCATCATTTTCCAAACATTATGCTATACGTCCTTAGATGGTTGTTCTATTTTCAACTTTGAGAATAAATCATTGCATGTAGTATTACACTAAACCTTTTTTTATTGACAGGATTGTGAGAGTGAAAAGAGGACCAGGTTCAGGCTTTGGATTCACATTAAGTGGTGATACRCCTGTGTTTGTGAAGTCTTTAGATAGAGGAAGCCCAGCAGAGCTYGCTAAACTCAAACCAGGAGATCACATCCTTGAAATCAATGGCTTGAATGTCAGGTAAATGATTTGTATTAGCATTAAAATAATCCAAATGAAGATATACAGAATACATATGGTTCTATCATGTTGCAGTAGATTTTAACATTTATATACATTGATATTACAGGGGTAAACGGCATCACACAGTAGTAGAATTACTTAAAGGCAGTGGTACTTATCCCAGTCTCCTGGTCCAGTGGCGACCAACGAGTGTGCTTAAGCATCRATCATCATCGTCATCACTCGGTTCAAAATCAGGACTGTCAGTCACATTTGATAAATTGAATGAAGACGGCATACACAGATCAGCATCAGTGGCATCACGAGCATCTAYRAGAACAGAGCAGTTGATCATGTCCAGGTTTCCAGGAAGTGATCCTCAGGGTGTGCGTGCTTTGGCCAGAGAGTTCAAATTACAGGTAAAGTGAGCACTATTGAATGTGTTTGCAATGGAATGASAGTTCWAAGCGCACTATACATAGTCACATTAAGACTGGTACAACTTGAATAACTTGATATGCAATGTTAGGCTAAATTGCAACTGCTTGGTCTGACAAGATAGAAAAAAATGGAATCATGCAGATTTTAGTAGTAAAAAAATTCCAAAACTTGGGTTTTTGTAGTCATGGATGACTTTAAGTTCATCATTGTTGGCTGTAATTGTTATTAATTTTACCAATAGTAATAGACAACTCAGCAGGCGTGACTTACTAGATTCAAAATGTTTTGCAATATTTAAATTATTTCCATTCAAATGTTCTGTGAGTTGAATTCATATGTCATGTTTGTATGTGTTTTTGTTTTTGTAGATGAATCGTCTCTTCACGAGTGGAGAACAGAAATACATTAAACAGTGTCTTAGTGATTACAAGCAAGAAAGGTAAGGCTGTCATATGAACCTTGACACAACCTTTGTGTAAAATGTTCAAGTTCTCTCTGTTATCTGATTTRAAATYTTGATCATCAAGTKCATGGATGKTTGGTTAATCATGTTTTTATTATTAGTTCATAACAAGTTGATTTTTCCATACAGAAATGTYAGTAAGTTGCTGGATTCCATTGAACCTGTGTTGGATGATCCAGAAAAACTTTGCATTCTTCACTACATGAGTGAACTTCTGCCTGAGGCYGAGCAAGCTGAATTTGACAAAGGTGCAGCCAAGATCTTTGCTAAACAGTCACAAGGTAAAATAGAAAATAGATTCATTTATTAAATAACAATATTGTTGATTGACAAGCCTCTCATTCATGCAGCAATATTACAACTGCTCTACATGGATGAATAGCTGTTAAGTTGTTATTTCAAATATATTGATGGTGCTGGTTGTTAAGGTACAAACATTCCTATTTGGTAATGTTGCTAATYATGTTATCTATGSCAGATGGTACAGTCCCAAGCTTCAGTGCTGCCGACAATGATGTCATGGATATTCTGTACAGAGTGCAAGGAATGCGATTRTCTGACCATCCRCGGCAAAGATCTGTTATTGGTGGATCAGGTAATTTTTTGCTGTCCTTAAAGACTACCTTAAGAATTGCAAGGAATGTAATATCATTTTTTTTCATTGAAGCCACATCTCCAGAACGAACAGATCATTGGCCAGGAAGGGGTGCAGCATCTCAGTGGAATTCTCCAACACGTAAGTATGGGTCATTAATCTATGATAACAGACAGTGTACAGTAATGCTGTATGGCCAGGTAATGTGTGAGAGATGA